ACTTAATTGGGTGAAACAATTCTAGATTTTTTCAATCATATATCCATAAATCTATCAATTTACAAATGTACATCTATGGTCAGAATAGTAACAATTTTTTTCAATTCCCAAAGAATCTCTGCATTTCAAAAGCTCTTTGACTTGGCGATTATTCCAGGCTTTTCCTGAATAATCACCAAGGAAATTTCGTTTCCCCGAGTCACGGTGAAATTCGCACGAGATGTAAGGTGTAACGAGCGGTAAGCAGAAATTAGATGAATTTTCGAACGTAGAAAGTGGATAATAATCGCGTAGCACGCTTAGACTCTGTTTAACCAGTCTGTCCAGGGGCCACTCTTACTGAACATTTTCAAGTGGCGAACCACCGCCGATACCGGGCGGTTAAATAATTTTCAACGGAATGACGGGAGAGTACTTTAAGCCGGTGCCTATCTTCGACCATTCACTGTGCAGGAACGTACAGAGGAGGAAGAATCGTTCGACAAGAAACCGATGAAGGGTTTATCTTAATCCACGGTTCACCGAACAGACGAGCTGCTCGCCAATCCTCATTGACCACCCCCTTCGATCGACCCCTTTTGCCCACACCCTTTTGCCATAACCGATCACACTTCGTTTGTTTCACCGGCTACTTTTTCTTTTTTTTGTTTTTTTTTTTTTACCAAATCTCCGAACTAACTCGGAATCTCATCGTCATTGTCATTTTCGTTGTCCTGATTCATACTATTGTCGTGTTCTGAATGTTAGAAGAAACGTGAGACGCGCCAATATAGCGAATGAACGTTACTCGTATCATTTATGTGCTTGATCATACTCTCTTTTCGATTATTATATAAAAATTATATTATATTATATTATAATATATTTATAATATATATTATATTATAATATTTATATAATATAATATAATACAATATAATATAATATATAATATAATATACTACTACAATAAACCTACACCTACAATAAATTAATATATCATTGACAGCTTAATTCATTCAAAGATCAATAAATGATTAAATTGCGGGGTTTTCATCAACAACATCGTCGTAAAATCCTACCCTTGCAATTAGAAAGGAAATTCTTCTTACAAAGATAGAACCATAACTATCTTCTTCTAGTTTCAACGAGATCATCTCCCAAAAATATTGAATTAAAATAATCGAAGAGGGACCAGGTTCCTACAGATCTCTCTAGTGAACGAAAAATTTTATTTCGAAACGAGACAGAAATCGAACGACTATACCGCACATTCGTACAATCTCTTGTCTCGCACAAGTCCGCAAAACAGATCCGCAGTTTCTACGAAACTGAGAGATATTTCTGCTTGACGAAACAATGCTCGAAGCGTTCCCTCTGCCATTGTTGCGTTTAAAGTCGTGACAGGGACGGTTTTGCCCGCGAAAAAACAAGTTGCCAGGGAACTGTTCGCGAATCAGAATCACCCGGACTTTTGACCAAAACGAACTACCGTACAACCGATCGCGAAAAGAATGAAAGGACGGGGAGGGGAGGGAAAAAACGCAACAATGAGGTCGAGAGAGAAAAGAAAGAAAAAAGAAAAGGAAGAAAGGGGAGAAGAAGAAGCAGGAAGCTAAGTAAGAAGAGCCGCTGGATGGAGATAACTAAAATCGTGGAGAAGTGTGGAAAGAAGCGAAACGACAAGGTATTCGCGAGGCGGGAAGGGAATTAAATAAAACATGAGCCGCTGGTTGGTGTTAGTGTTGGGAAAAGTTGTAGCGGCTAGGATGCGAGCGTTAATAGACCGAGAGAGACAGAGAAAGAGAGAGAGAGAGTGAGCGAGCGAGTGAGTCAAAAGGGCATAAAAGAATTCGAGAAGGCCCGAGGATGGGCAAACACCTGTAACACCGTGTTCATGGCCTCACGTGCCCGGGCGTGGCCGTGACGAAGGTGGCGATGATCGGGCAAAAAGCAGTCGAGGCAAAAAGCCGATCAGCTCGTGCTGATCGAAAACTTGGAATATCCACGCCCGGAACGGAAGCATTAAACTCGGCGGAGAAGATCGGCCGAAGACTCGCCTAACTCCCGTGGCCTGGCTCGTTCGGAATTACGTAAAATCACGGACGAACGTAAAATTGGAAAGGAATACCTCTCGAGTCTTTCCCTCTTTTTTTCTTTTTCTTTTTCTTTTTGACTGGTTCGTGTTCGAGACAGTTGGATAATTCAACGGTTAAGTAGCAAGTAGAAGTTTCGAAACTGTTGACTCTCAAGTTTCATTGAAATCTCTTTCATCGCTATACTTGTAGATATGTATCAAAGAATTGATAGAAATTTATTATTATTATTTGGGAAATTACCAACTTGAATAATTATAAAGCATGACGAATATTTAAAAAGAAACTTCTGCGGAACCTCTGCGAGAAGGAGATGACACGAAAAATGACATTGTCAGACTGTGGATTTTTATGGAAATTCATATTTTTATGAATGTAATTTAAAAATACGAGGTGCAGTTAGATAACTGTACTATTACATTATAAATTCACAGTATTCTATTTTATTTTATTTTGTATTTTATATTTTATACTCTCCTTAGTAGTTAAGGGCTAGATATTACGATAGACTACGTGTAATTTGCACATTTTTTCAAAGTTCAAGCTTCCCATAAATGCATGAAAATCCACAATCTAGCGACTTTAGAATATTCCAAAAGTAGAACAAAATCTACCATCGCATAATGCCTAGATCCTAAATCCTAAATAATACGTCACACCCTAACCTACGTGAAACCCTAAATCCTACATGTCGTGTATAATAAATTCTCCACAGAATTCGTGCATGGTAACTCCAAACTGCCGTCGTACGCAGGAAATTGGCTGGTTGTCAAGTTGTCGCGGATAACTTTGACCATCCTCTCGCATTCACGCGTTTTTCCAGTATCGCGTCGAAGGGACTGCGCGGCCGACCGACATCGGACAGTCAGCATGACTGCGCGGTCCGTGCCCCTCGGTTCCCCGCTGACTATTTATCTTGTTACATCGAAGTGATTCGATTCTAACAGGAGATCAATGACGGCCGCCGACCTCCGCGGCTTTCCGGCTTCTTCTGTTCCACGCGGCGATGGAGCCGTGAGAGTTGCTCGAACGCGGTGGTCTCCAACGCGCGGTGGATCCACCGAATCGCTTGAAATCGATTCGATCGTAGTCGGTTACGCTACACGTGGACACCTGAAAAGTTTCCTCAGTTATTGATTTTCCATTCGTGACCGGAGGGGGGGGAGGGGGAGGAAGAAGAAAGTCAATAAATTAAAGAAATAGGATTAGGAATTTGAATGTGACTTGATACGGGGATGTAGAACACTACAGTGGTGCGTGTATACAGGTTTTTGCAGATCGTACTGACCTCTTTCGCATTGTAAATTAACCCTTTTGCAGATTATATTCGCAAATCCAATTCATCTTGCAGATGAGGTAATATTCTTTGTTATTTCTACCACCACACTCTGGAATGATGAAGAAGTTTTTTTCAAAAATTGAATTCTATAAGAAATATTTTGGCTAATCCTTCAAAACCATGAACATTTAGTGGATGTTATTGAATATTCTGTTGCAACTATCGTTCCCGTATATTGTCATAATTATTATGAATATGAATATATATATATACATAACAGTAGGCGAACCATTATTGAATTTACATATGTGTATGTAAATATCTTTAGTGCTAACCTCAACATAATATTTTAAATATTATGTTAATTTTTGTACGTTAAGTTTTATGTCAATTTTATGTCAATTTTATTTCTTATTTAAATTTAATATTATCCCATACATACATACAATGCAATTTTTATCCCCTATATTATCATAATTATTATGAATATGAATATATATATATAACAGTAGTCGTTAAATTTTATGTCAATTTTATGTTATATCTATATTTAAATTTAATATTATCACATACATACTATAATGGCTGGTTTATTATAAATTTATTTAAGAAGAAAAAAACAAGGCAGTTTCAAAGAGAAAAACTTGATTTGCAAAATTGTAATCGAAATCAAAATTGTACACGTTCTGCAAAAGAGTTCGTTTATAGTGGGAAAGTTAATCATTATTAATTTGAAACGCAAAGTCTGTAGCAGTTATTTTACTGAAGCTTACATTTAACATTAACGAGTACGATTCATGAAATGTAAATACTGAAGGCGGGGAGGAAAAAGTATCGCGAGGCTACTTGCTTGTTCTGATTAATACTTCTGGGACACTGGGGATTATTTCATTACGATTCACAAGACGTCTTGGTTTCCATGTTTAATACTCGGTACAATCCTGAAACGATGAATCAATAATGCAAGGTATTGCGGTGTAACGTGCCAGGGAGCACTTAGCTCGAACGACAGTGGCACGTCTGTCAAGCCAACTGTGTCGCATAGTGGTTCCGATCGACAGTCAGACAACAAATATTTATTGCTGCTCACTGCTACGGCAAATGTAAACGTTTCTTCTCTTAATGGTGGATATCTAGTATCGAACAAGTTTCCTTTTCTTCTTGCGAATTAGTTGATTTTCACATTGTGACAATAGTCCACAGTACGCGAGATATTACCTGAAATGATGATAATTTGTTGAACGTTAAGAAACAGAAAATAATTAAATAAATATAAATTGAATGCTTTGTAATAAAACAAGTTTAACATTCATGAATATCGTTACCATTGCCACTTACTTCAATCGTGTTTGACCTTCTTTCTTTTTCATTTCAATTAATTAATTTTCACTTATTATACTTCGTAAGTAATATCCACGGTACGCGAGATGTTATCTGAAATAATAGCATAGTTTGTTGACAATTTCGAAATATAAAACAATTAGATTTATAATAAAAGAAAACGTTACATGAGCAACATTCGTGCAATTGCTCGAGAATTGATTAATTTTCACCTCCATAATACGCGAGATGTTACCTGATCCGTATGAAAATTATTCTAAAATATTTAGTTGTACCGACATTATAGAACCATAGAACAAACTGTCAACTTTGATGATCTTCGAACGGAGGATATTTGGCTAATCAAAGAGCGCGTCACAGTAGACGTGACCTGTGCGTCAAGACAACCTCGAGCAAACAACGGAGATCGGTCAGGAACAGGAAGCGGAACACGCGTCACTGTAGCCGAAATATTGGCAGATGTTTGCGCAGCCAGCTAATGTAATATCGTTTATCCGCCGAGTATCGAATGTTGCTGACAAAAATGAGACTCCGAGGGAATGGTTAACCTGTTGACTGAAGTTTTTAATTCGAATTTTCTATAATTCGGAACGTTCAGAATCAGTGTGAATCATTTTTCATTCAAAAGTGGCTCGTACATAGTGATAACATTCTAACGATTATATTATAGTCACTATAATATAATGACTGAATCCATCAACTGAAAAATTTTGATAAAAGTGTACACGCATGATACAGATTGTTTCTAATAAGAAACGACTTACACTGATTTACTTCTGAATCCTACATTTTAGAAATTATGAAATAATAAATGAATCGATTCAAAAATCTACTAAAAGTCATGATACAACTTAAAAAGTTTCTCAAAAGCGAGATAATACGTTTCATTAAAATATACTTCCCCTAGTTAAAAGATTGAAACAAGTCTTTTGCGGTACAATGTGAGAACGTTGAACAGCAAGCAAGAATTTATTGGCTCAGAAAAGAAAATATTTCAATATTTAAATTTCACTCTAAACACTTTGTTGCCCGAGATATAAATCAAATCGAGATTAAGAAAGGATTGAAAGCATCTGAGAAGCTTCTCTCGCGTTTCTTTAATCTGGCTGGGGCAACAAGGGGAGAGAGGATCGCTATTTCCATCTCGGGCTGCCTCGTAAATCCCAATGTTATTCTGAAAAACGCCACAATGAAGTAACACGGCGTGGTTAGTTAACGCAGGGAACTGGTTTTCGACCGATCGTTTCAGCCATTAACGATGAACAAATTGCATTCCCATGGAAATCGGTGAAATACACGCTCGCGAGCGGCCTACACGCTCCGCTAATAGGAAAGCGATTTATGCCCTCGCGCCTTCGCCGTATTTATTATCGCGGCGATATCATCGTTGTATTTATCGGACGATTCTCGCAAGATATTCGTTCTCGTGAGCGAAGATCGCGCCGCGGGTGTGTCCGCCGGGTGATAAGTTAATTAGAGCCGCGTGATTAATAGGGACGATCTCGTCCGCGTGAATCACATGGCCTGATGGTCTCGTTCTATCGTCGCTATTTTTAATTGTTGCAACGAGCACGTTGCATCGTTAATTTAATTTCTGCATCGTGCTACTTTTTTTTATATTTTCCATTGGCGGTGAGAATAATTCTTTTTTTCTTTTCGGCAATGCATGATAGTTCAACGTGACGCAATAATAATAGTAGCGCCAACCATTAAACTATCATTACAGTTTAATTTAATTTATTATAACAAAATTTATTATAGTTTAATTTAATTTATTATAACAAAAATTAATAAATACAAAAAATAATTTTTTTTAACGCTTGTATCCTTTAGTTTGATTATGATATCTGAGTTCTATCACATGTGGAATCTATGATATTCTTAACGATAATAAATTTCACAAAACACCTTCCACTGGACTGTGGATTTTTATGAATTTACGAGAATTTTAAAAGATATGCGGAAACACGTGAATATTGCTCGTGTATTTAAATAAAACAGTTGTCCGTGTCGATTCCATTTTTTCTTTAACTATTTCAATCTAAAAGTCCCATTTTATATTTCATAACAATACTTTTACTCTTCACACTTTCCCTCGAGCTTGTGAAATTTTTTTAAAAAATTCGAGAGTTTATTTTCAAAGCCTATTAAATTTCCACAAACATCGGCGTTCGTAGTTTCGTTGAATCTCCTCTTGAAAATTTCGCGAAATCGTCCGATTTCAATTGAATTTTCGCGAAAGCTACGACTTGGAATTTTCGGAGATCTATGTACCTTTCATCTGGTAGCGATATTTTTCGTCTGGAGATTGTTTCTCTCACAACATCCTCTGAAATTGCAGCTGTAACGACGGTTCTTCGAATCTTGCCTCGCTGTATTATTCTCCCACCATCGCCAACTTCCGGCCGCAGTTACCGACTGTTTCATGCTATCGTAATCCGTGACAATCGATGGTTATTTGCGTGATCGTCGCGCGAACACGATTCTTGTAAAAGCGCTCGGGTGGTAAATTTCCAGGAAATGCGGCGATAGCGATGATTTAGACATTGTCCTCTGTAATTTAACGAGGAGCCGAAAGATCCTGATGCTCTCTTAACGATTCTTTCTGAGAAATTCTCCTGAAAATAAAGTTTTCACATCAATTGTAACTCTTTGATCTATAAATAAAAGATCAGTAATTAAAGATCAATACATAATAAATAATTAATAAATGACAATAATACATAAGAGATGAACAAATAAAATAAGAGGATAAGAGATGAAAGAATAAATTGTCTCTTCTGATAATTTTTGAAAGGCTGTTTCTCTGGAATTATTTCTTGATTTTGAAAAGAACGATATGATAAAAAAATTTATCGTATCGAACTGAGAAGTGACAGACATTTGTTAATTAATTTCTAGTCCTTTATCGTGAGTTTGCTGAGAAATTGAAGTTTACAGCATCGTTGACACGTCACGTGCCGCAATACTTTACACGCAGCAGCGTGCCTGATAATTTAGGAAAATACTCAGCGAAGCGTAGCGGAAGAGATCGATTAGATTGCTAGCTCTGGATTGGTAAAAATTGAATTACGACGTATTTTAATCTCGTTTAACAATCGATTAGTTACGATCGTGAAGCAACGACCGCCCACGTAGATCGTCACGCTATAAACACCAATAATTAATCCTGCTTTTTTTTCAATCCTTGACCGCCATGATTCGTTTTAGAATAATAATCGTCAAACTTTTCAATTTTCAATTACCATCCTCTCTGCTGATTGATATAATTCTTGAAACTAAAAAACAAAAGCAACCACCTGTTATGTCTCTATTCTTATTCCAGGTTTTATTTTTCAATCTTTCAAACTCGAACTGTCTGATAATAAATAGTTTTCTGCTTGCATACATGGCGATGGCCATTACAAATATTTGCAAACATTATCATTATATTTTCATTGACGTATCAAATTACCTGTAACTTTTTTTCATCAATTTTTATATTACGTATTATGTTAGAAGCATTCTACATTTTCCAACAACTCATTATACATATCCTTTTCGAATTTTCAATAAATTCTAGATACTTCGACTAAATATCCCAATAAATACTCAATTTCGTATACTGTTTTGTATGCCTTTGCATTTTCTATGCATTATCCATAGTTCTACACTTTGAAATTTCACATTGAAGAGATACAAGCACCTATGCAAAGCTACATATTTATACTTTCATGTATCATCAGAATATAAGAAGTTAAAAGGATATTAAAACTCGAAAGATGTCGTCAAATCAATAGAAACTTCTTCGTCTTACCTCGTCCTTGATCAAACGCTACGTTGGTGTACCAAGAAACCAGCGAGTACACGTGTCAATGAATACTCTTTTGGTAACTTAGCAAAATGATCGTCGAATCTCTGCCATTCGTACCGATCTTTAGGAAATTAGATCGAACACGGTCGAGAAGTCGAGCGAGTCTCTGCTCGTCGTGGGAAGGCTTTCTTAACTGTTCCTCCTTCTACGTAGCTGGAAAAAGCGTGTAACACGGATAGCCTGATCAGAACTGGTATTCCGAGATCAATATTCATCAAACTTCTTACCATCGGTCATTACGATTTGTTTCTCCGCTCGTCCCACCTATTTTCCGCGTTCCGTTGCTCCTCTTCTTCGTCAACGTTCTTACGCGACGACATTCCTCAATTCAATCAAGCAACCCTGTCGATCCCTGGAACCGTCCACTAGATCGTCGTCCATGAATAAATGCAGATTCGAAATCTGTCGGTGCGTTTTTCCTGCAACAGTACAATACGTTAGCAGTGGACGAGAAGAATTCTTTGATTATCGTTTCACGCGTGATTTACTGTTTTACGATCTCGAGTTAAGAGCCAATAAATTTTTATGGGAGATTCCTGGGGTTTCTTTGATTATTTGTACGATTGGAATTGGGTGACTTTCCACTTTCACGAATGTTTAATTACTGATTGTTGGAAATCGTGGACTGTGGAAGCGGAGGTTATCGTTATTATTGTATTGCTTAATTAAATTATGGAAATTCAATTCAATTGGTTCTACCTTTCTGTATTATTCTCTAAAAAAACAATTTTTATCTCTTGTGTTATTCGATATTGAAAAAATATTATATTTCCCGAAAATGAGTGTCGATTCTAAAAAATATTAAATTTCTAAATTTCAATTTCGAGTCTTTTCTAAAGTAGTGGAATATTTTCGCAGCAAATTTTTCGAAAAGAATAGAGTGACTTCTCTTTTTTTTAATTTACCACAAATAGAACGTTCCCACTCGGAATCTTCCTAAAACAGAGGATTCAAACATAGAATACTCTCTCCGAGAAGTGGAATATTTCCATTTCTAATTTCCCACTTAAAATGAAACATTTCGACAGAAGATTTTCCAAGAAACTAGAGATTCTCTAGTCCGAATTTTCCCAAGATAGAAAATTTCCACAGAAGATACAACATCTCCAACAATTTTCAACAAACTCAGTAGAAACATTCTTCAAAGAGAAAATATGTATCTCGTATTGACAATAAATTCCTTTGTTAAAATTACCAGTAATAAGAATAATCGTAAACGAGGTGATTCTCATAGTTCAAACCAGCATTATTGTCTCTGGAGTGGAGCTGCTCTGTAACAACAATGAACGACGGCTAATTGATTTACAACTCGGCCGTGCTGCTCCACATTCTGCTTTATTATACCTGCACGCCGGCTCAATTGACCATGACGAAATATTTTCCCTTAATTGAATAATCAACGGTTAATCAAACGGTCGGCTCGATTAAGATAACGATCGGCCGGCCCACTTAGCGCGGCAAACGGGCCGAATAGCAAGTAATTATTCACACAGCCATTTGAATAATTGCCGGGAAAATTAAGCGTGCGATGGCGTTGCCTCCTGGCATTATTAATAGCAACAAGATTTCGACGCGAGTCCCGTTCATCGCACGATTAACACGTGAAATTTGCCTAACTTGTTGCGCTTGATAAAATTGTCGTAAAATTTCTTCCAAAAACGTCATCATCATTTCATCATTTTTAAAAATTTATACCCGAAAATGGGACAGTCGTAAATGAGTTGCGCTTTAATTTATAGCAATGGTGTTGTTTTATTGTAATGGAAATTTGAAAGTTTCTTTTTCATATTTTATGGAAAGATCTTTGCTTTATGTTTCACAAAAATGGGGGGAAGTTTCATTGCAGTAAAATTGTAAAAATATTAAATGTTTATTATTATTATTTTTAAAACTTTCTCGCAAAATGGAAAATTCTTAGCAAAGAATTTTGAATCTGAATTTTTCATAGATGGAAATGAATTTTCTCAAAATATAGAATCCCTGTTTCTGATTTTCCAAGAATAGAAAATTTCTATTTCGAACATTCTAAATAAGGGAAAATTTATGCTCTAAACTTTTCAAGAAAAGAAAAATTTCCCAAAAGCGGAGAATTTTCGTATTTTTTTGAAAACTCATTGAAGGTAATCAGCTTTTTATTTTCGCAATCGATAACGCAGAAAATCGTCCTTAGTATTAACTGTCCCTTAAAAATTCAACGATTTCACAAGTAAATTGCCAACTTACAAAATCGCCTGACGATCGTTGATATAATGTAACACAATAATTTCGCAACGCGAATAAGAGAGTAAGAAAACAAGAGACGGGATATTAACTAATTCCGTTCGATTAAAACAACAAAGTTAGGGGAACGGCAAGAAGTCTGGGACCGTCTCGACAGACTTGTTCACGTGGTAGGAACTCGTGCTTGCTTCGTCACTCTCCAAGCCACAATTTCTTCACACTAATTACCGATCCGTCCCGCCCACCTGACAAGAGAGAATGTGTGAAAAACACGGTGCACCCGATTCATCAACAAATTCACATTTACCTCTTTTCACTCGACAATAATTCCGACTTACACTACTTATTTAATTCTGTTCTAAATAAAATAAAATATACGAAACGTCGAACATTCGCGTGACTTTTACCTCTTACGCAATGGAATTAAATTTGAAAAACTGACACGAAGATTCTGAAATTTTGGCACGTTGAATCTTCCTTCCCGAAGAGATATTTCCATCGAGAATGTCAATGGTGAGACTTCAAAGAAATGGACGCAAGCTCTTTGTTCTATGAAAAAAATGTCTAAGTTCAGAATCTGGAAATCAGTTCAAAAATGACGAAACGAAATGAAACTTTGTCTGTGAACTAAATTCGAGAATTGAAGCGATGCTTTTGAAATTTATTCAGAGATAGAGAAACGAAATTTTCTCCACAGATTGGTCCTAATAGACCGGAGAGATTTAGACGATAAATAGATGAAAATCCCCAAAAAACGTGGAAAAGAGAAAATGTAAAAAGCCGAGTAAAGCTGGAGCTTCGCCCGTTTCATGATCGTAGGAGGCAAACGATACCATCGAAGGGGCTTACACGGCGCGATTCGTTGGTTCGAGGCGATCGTGATAGAGAGATCGATTTACGTGAATAATGAGACGGGGAGGAAAGTTACTCGCCGATAAATTTAACGCGTTACGGAACCGCGACCGGCGCACACTCGCCGAAGAACAGGAGTGTTCCACGTCGTTAGACGCCGAGGTTACGTCCTGGGTCCGGAGAGTCCCATGGTGGTCCCCCTCGACCAGGTGGCCAGGCCCCCACCGATGCTAACTAATTAAATCATGAAAAAGGCGGTGAACGTGCGTCCTACAGTTTTTACGAAATTAATAAACCGGAACCACCAGTGGTTCTCAGGGACTCCGCTCCTTACACATAGTTCACGCTTTAGCGAATTAACACCGTTTAGGAAATTTTCAGCAAATGCGGGAGGCGTGAATGAACGAAATTTTAACGAAGAGAGGTAACGATAAGTTGATAATTTTCTGTTTGTATCCTCTTCGGCAATACTTGTGTGACACTAAACTCACAAAAGTATTCGAACATTCATTATAACGTGTGCTGTATAAAATTTGTTGAAATTGTACGGACACAATTGTCGCGATTGTATTGATGAAAATGAAGCTAGTTTGGTAATATCTCACTGATTGTTGCTGACAGTTACTGGTATTTTGTTATTGTTTCATTTGCATCATTCGAAAATTATAAAAATGACGAAGTGTTTGTAGATTTGATTAGAGTAAAGAGCTACAGTTAATGTAATTAACCTGTGTATTCTTCTTCTCCTATAAATCAATAAAATTTTGATTATAAAGGATTGGATACTTCTGTTTTCCCAAATATATATTGTATTTTATATAACACACGTAATAAGTTCATATTAGCGTTTAAATAATATTAATTATCAATAGTGTTAAATAATTATTCTCACATGTTCAGATAAAAATAAAACACAAGAATTTGCATCTTTCCGTAAGTTCGCGGCACGAAAGTTTAATTAAAATTTAAATTAGTTAATTAAAACTTCATTATTTGACGTCGAAGCACTTTCTGTGGGAAATGTTAAAGCGGAGCTAGATTTTTTTTACACTTTTATTAAACGGATCGATGGCGAAAGAGTAGCGAGAGGTTCATAGGATGTAATTTAGCAGGATCGATCGCAAGGTGGTGGAATTTTAAGCGTTGTTAGAAGCGTGATAAATATATTTAACACCTACTTTCAAATTACTCGGCATGACGCTACGGAAAGATCCGATTCGTGACAAAAACCGTCGATTTCTTCGTCAATCATCCGTCTGGTCGTTTGCATCCCCACGGTGAAGAACTTTTTACTGTAACTCTCCTCGTGCCGCGTCGAATCGACAAAGAATTAATCGAGGTGACCATGGTTCCCCACGGTTTCTTATACGCCTAACGCCTAACCGATCCTTGAAATCGTCCATCTCTAAGAACCTGTAACAGTCGATCCAATTTTTAACAGTTGTTCAATCTTCCTCTAATTTTTAACGATGCTAAAACATTTTTCACGGTTCTCTCAAACAGGATAGATTCACAAATGTAAATACATATGTATTCATTAACGTAAATATTCCAAACATACATTTAACGAAAATTCGAATCATTTCTCCAACGTGCAATGGTAAGCTACGCTTACTAAGTAACATCGAGTGATGGATTTTGCACACGAACTGATTTTAATAGTAATTTCTGCGAGTAACAACAAAATTGTAAAATTCAAAATAATTATTAATATTTAATCAATTTATTATAATATAATTATTAAATGTATATTATAATATAATATAATTATTAAATGTATATTATAATATAATATAATTATTAAATATATATTATAATAATTTATTTAATATAAATATAAATTATAATAATTTATTAATATAATTAATTTGTTGAATATAAACATTAATTATTATCCTACAAATTCGTAGGAAAGCCGACGATATATCTATATAAAATATATATATATATAAGAAAGTCGTCGAGATGTATCCACAAATATTCGCAAATGATGTTTACAAAGAAAGATGTAGTTTACAAATGTATATTATAATATAATTATTAAATATATATTATAATATAATTAATTTGTTGAATATAAACATTAATTATTATCCTACAAATTCGTAGGAAAGCCGAAAATATATCTTCATAAGATATAAATCTATATATATATATATATATATATATATATAAGAAAGTCATCGAGATGTATCCACAAATATTCGCAAAAGATGTTTACAAAGAAAGATGTAGTTTACAAACGTATATTATAATATAATATAATTATTAAATATATAATAATTTATTATAATATAATTAATTTATTGAATATAAACATTAATTATTATTCTACAAATTCGTAGGAAAGCCGACGATATATCTATATAAGATATAAATCTATATATATATATATATATATATAAGAAAGTCGTCGAGATGTATCCACGAATATTCGCAAAAGAAAGAACATTTGCTCTCGAAAGATCGATTCGTAAAAGATCCGCTGGGAACACCGTGTCAATAATGCGCAACCCCAGTCGCAAATCATCGTGATACAACCGTTCGAATTCGCCATTCGAATTCTCGATCCGCGTGGAGCAACATCCGAACGACAGACACCCCCCTCCGCGCCACGCCACGAACGGGAAGATGATCGGCGAGGGTGAAACGAGTTTATCCACGGCCGGCCATCCACGAGTTGTCGAACGCGCGATGGGAATAAAATGTGAAACTGTAAATTGTGCGTGGGAAGAATCGGTCCCTGGACGGTCGTGGCGGTCGACCGTGCTTCTCGGTAGACCAGGGGGAGGATGGGGGTTGAAAGGTAAAGAGAACGGCCCCACCCCATCGCGAGGGTTGATCCGTCCTCGAGGCCAAGAGGACAGGAGATGGAAGGAAATACAGAAGGAGAAAGAAAGAGAAAGAGAGGTTTCGTGGAGGATTTAAATGCGCGTTCGAGCGATCGAACAACGTTTCGAGGAGGCCAGGGGTGTGAGCCACGAAGGAGCTGGAAATTTGTTACGTTATGTCGGACGATCACTCCCCAGCGAATATGAAGAAAGATTTCTTTTGGCTCGAGACGTGTGTGTGTGTGTGTGTGTGTGTGAGAGAGAGAGGGAGGGAGGGGAGGAAGGAGAGAAGGTCCTCTCTCTCGACAAGGAGGTCCTAAGGGGTGGTTGGTTGGTCAGTTCTGACTGGAAGAGAAAGCTGAAAGTTGAATGGTGGTGGGGATGGAACACGGTGCCAGGAATATAAAGCGAGGGATGAAAGAGACGGCGAGTCACATATGCGACCCGTAAAAGCTCTTCTGAAAAGCTGCATCCGTCCCACACAGGAACTCGGCCTCTCTTACATTTCAATGACGTCGCTGAGATATCGCGAATATGTTTGCGTGCGAAGGGAATCGGGAAGGAAATCTATTAAACTTGCGATCTTTCTCCTTTCTTTTTTTGCTGTTTCATTATTGAACATCTTACGGGATGTACGACGTGCTCATCTGTTAAGCTGGCTCGTACGATCTTACAATGGTGCTGTTTCTTAAACATGAATCATAAATTACGTTGACCAAATGGAATAAAAAATATTACAACAATAATATTATTGTAATGCCTCGCTGGCATGTGAATTTAAATTTAAATTCAAATTCAAATTTATAGGAAATCGCAGGTATTATTATCAAATTCAAATTTATAGGAAAATCACAGGTATTATTATCAGAAAATGACGAAAATCATTATTTTGATCGTAGCTTAATATCACTTAATAATAAAGTTTTTAGCTAATATAATAAATGTTCTTGACATCGAATATACGTGATTTATATTGAGTCTGTTTTTCTTTAATGTACAGTTACAGTTAATGACGTGATTTCATCAGTATTAGAAGAATTAAATTTAGAAGAAAAACTTGACACACCAAAGTTTTAAGCCTAGAGTATTAATTGATTAAGAATTAAATAGAGATGTGTGTTTTGATACACGTCTGTGCTTTTCACGAAAAAAAAGAAATATACTATACATATTCTCGTTTCCATCTTTGAACGATGACGTATCATGGTAATCGAACGAAAACTTCTTTTTTTGCACCTAACAATTAACACTAAGTGTTGCAGTGAATCAGATAATCAATTTCCGTAGATTTTTCCCAATTTTTCGCCGATTCTCAAACAGATACATCGCCAGAATCGGGCAGAGAGGTACAACACGCGTCAGGCGACATCGCGTTTCTATGGAAACGTACAAAAGGCACGTTCAACCCCGGAGGGATCTAGCGATATCGGCGAATATTAAGAAATAGCTCTCGACCGGCATTTCCGTACATTTGCGGGCTGAGAACGAGCCATTCGTTTGCCGGCTAGAACGAGGTGCTGTCTATGCATGGCACGCCACCACCAACCATCCAACCGTCCCATAAATAATATCTTCTCTCTCTTCCCTCTTTCACTGTCCTCCTCCGATTCCCGTTCGGTTCGCGGCTCGGCCGAGTAGCCGTATCTCTTTTTCCATGCGCGTCGTATTCCGCGCGAAAAGCACGTAATTCAGGTCTGGAAAATCGAGATACGTGCCTCTCGATCGCCGATAAAGAGACGATGTATCAGGTATTTTAATTCTGCACGGTGCAGAAATAGTCGATCGGATATTTCTCTGTTACTGTCGTCTTCGTTTTTCGTGGAAGTTCTTCGTTGTTGCTGAGAATTTTTCGATTTTCTCAGACTTTTGTTGAGAGAATCTGAGGAACTTAAGTTAGGGTAAATACGTGTCAATCGGTACCTCTTCCAGATGTCTTTTGCGATGCAGTATAAATAGATCAATATGAAATTATACCGAACACTGAAATCAAATATATAGATTATAGACAATATTATGAAAAGTAGAAGATTTACAAGTGAGAGAAATTCAATTTAGAAAAAAATTTCTATCATATCTTTGAGAAGTTTTAATTTCAGGTTCTATCAATCACTTTTCTTAATCTCCTTATTTTGTGACAGATCAGATACACTTATACAAATTGTGGTTTCAGTTGAACAAAGACAGACAATGTTTAATCTCTACGTCTTTCGATTTAATCGAATATTTCCCAGAAACGTCGCAAATACAAGAAATTTGAAAGATCTCTCGTGTCTCAAAAAATAAAAAAAACTTGTCGAATTTTCACATAATTGATCAAGTCTTCTCCTACGCCAAAACCCTCGGGATATGTACTTAAAAATCTTCCCCTTGCTTGCAAAAAAATTCCTGAAAGTATACCTGGAAACATATCGATAACCAACGAATTTATCATCGAACGGCGACAAGCCTCGCGATTTTTTTCCTTCTTCTTTCTCCCCTGCCCGAGTGAAACAGACAATCCCTGGCGGAATTGTCGGCCGCTTAATCGTCCATTTCCACCTGTCAGTCGTTGCCGATGGACTCACAAAGAAGAGTCTTCTATCTTTACCGGGAGGGGGGAACCGGCAAGAAAACGCAGCCAAAGGGAAAAAGAAAATTCGAGAATGTTGGCGGAGAGAATCGAGGCGGATTATGAAGCGCATACTACCGCGGCAAATAAAAATCGCTTCCGCGCGGCTGGACACGCGGGAAAACAGGGAGGAAGAGAGACGTTGCCTCGTCATAGAGCCGGGGAATTACCGGAAGATGTCCCTTGGAAGCTTCGTGGCCGGGGAGGGAAGGAAGGCTGACAATAAGCGTTCCGTGGTCACTGCACCCTGCATGCGCCCGTGTTCTCCTTCGTCGAGAATAGAGGGCAACTCGTGGATGTAATTTCTTAATAGTTTGTCCGGTTTATGGTGCAATTCTGTGGAAACTTATTGCGAAAAAATCGGTGGATATCGTAACTGTTGGAATGCAGGTAATCTTTTTTGTGGACGGAGAGTGCATTGTAGATGGAAAAAATATTGAAAGGGTATTATTAACACTAGAACTACAATCCCCATCAGAGACACTAAAGTAAAAAAAAAAAAATAGTGAAAAAGTTTCTGGTACAATAGAGTAGACAAACGTTTGCTTGTGTGTTTTATGTGAAAAATCATTTAAATCTTTAAATATATATCTGTATAATATCTAATCAAAATTATAGATTGGTCGTTTGGACAACTTTGGCAATTCTAGTGTTGATAATTATATTTCTCAATCGTGAGCAAGTCGTGGTTTCGATATACAAAAATGTTGCATGCAATTAGTATATTTTTTTTATTTGGAATCTTCACTTTATCAAATTATTCGATGACAAGTTGATAATTACAAATTAGCAATTTAACTACAACTCTCTAATCAAATTTGCGAATATAAGAATATGTAAGCTTTAGATTGTACTATAATTATATTATAGAAGATTATAAAAGATAGATATATACTATTACAGAAGATTAGAATTAAATAAAAGATAGATGCAGGTACGTCACAATATATATCGACAATATGGAAATAT